CTACTATTCAGTGGAACTTTTATGGCGTTTGTTTCCACTGTCAAGAAAAATCAAGAGGATTTGAGTATAAATATGTAGATTATTTATAATACCTAAGTATGTAGGTATGTCTCTTGGATAGAGTGTGAAATAGTTTTACATATTATTTCAAAAGCTGCAAAGAACTTTACTTAGGTATTTCATTTACATACCTAAGTTAGATTAAAGGACCGACCCCTCATGGTAGTGTAAAATTACATGCCTTCCACACTAATCCACACACAGTAATTTACGTAAGTAGCAGTGGGCGAGGGACGTACCTGGTACTGATGGTTGTTGAAGCAGAAAGTACCTACTCGAGTGGCGACTGTGGATTGGAAAGAGGTACGTAGTGTAGGCAGGCCTCCCACAGTAGACTGAAGTACTGAAGTTACAATAGGCACCTGGCCCAGATTGCTCTAATTTGTAATGTCTTCAACTCATTCGCGTTTCATCTCCAGTCGCGCTCGACTTGCGCTCCATTTTCATTCCAGCTGAAGTGCAATTCGGTACCACGGTAAATTTCACGCGCAAACGAAGACGAAACAACAGATTTATGCACTTCCGAACACCTTATTTTTGAAACTAAAATTACTAAAACAACAAAAAAATAATGTTCGTCAAGCGTTTGAATTGCGTTTGGAAAAAAGTAGCTTTCTGTTAGTTTTTACGTAAAGGCGCAGTCACGCTCCGTTTACGTTTCAACTTCGTTTGAACTAGCTGTCCGCCCTGTCAATGTCACTGGTGGGACGGTTCAGTGTAGTTCATCTATAAATGACGTATCGTTCTAACGACAGTGGAAACAAGCACAGAGTCAATCAAACTTCGTCCGGTAAGTTTGCAGAAAAACTTTATCTTTAGAAATAGCCATTGTTGGGAAACTTTTGCCAATATCGCGGTTTGTTTTGACATCGCGTAGGCGGTTTTATTTATAAGTAGGTATTTATTTATTACTAGCGGCCGCCCGCGTATTCGTACGCGTGGATCCCGTTTTACCCCCTTCATCTATTTTACGCGGTTTAGATTTTTTCATACAAATGTTTTTTCCAGCTAACTCCCGTTCCCGTTGGAATTTCGCAATATCCTGTTGTAACTAAGCTTTAAGTTTACTAAGGGACCTGCATGCCAAATTTCAAGCGTTTAACTTAAGCGGTTTAGATTTTTCATACAAAAGGATTTTCCCGGTAATTCTTGTTCCTGTGGGAATTTCGGGAATCCCTTTCTTAGTGCACCTCTACGGTACCTAAGCTACGTCCCTTATAAATTTCAAGTGCCTACGTTTAGCCGTTTAGGCTGTGCGTGGGTATGTCAGTGAGTCAGTCATACAAAAGGAATTTCCCGCTAATTCCAGTTCCGTGGGAATTTTACAATATCCTGTTGTAACTAAGCTTTAAGTTTACTAAGGTACCTGCATGCCAAATTTTAAGCGTCTCACTTACGCGGTTTAGATTTTTTCATACAAATGTTTTTTCCCGCTAACTCCCGTTCCCGTGAGAATTTTGCAATATCCTGTTGTAACTAAGCTTTAAATTTTCTAAGGTACCTGCATGCCAAATTTCAAGCGTCTATCTTACGTGGCTTAGATTTTTTCATACAAATGTTTTTTCTCGCTAATTCCCGTTCCCGTAGGAATTTTGCAATATCCTGTTATAACTAAGCTTTAAGTTTACTAAGGTACCTGCTTGCCAAATTTCAAGCGTCTAACTTAAGCGGTTTAGATTTTTCAAACAAAAGGATTTTCCCGCTGATGCCCGTTCCCGTGGGAATTCCTAAGTATCCTATAACCTGCCCAGGAGTATGAAGAATAATTGTACCAAGTTTCGTTAAAATCTGTCGAGTAGTTTTTGTTTCTATAAGGAACATACAGACAGACAGACAGACAGACAGAAAGACAAAAATTTTACTGATTGCATTTTTGGCATCAGTATCGATCACTAATCACCCCCTGATAGTTATTTTGAAAATATATTTCATGTACAGAATTGACCTCTCTACAGATTTATTATAAGTATAGATAGATATTAGATAAGATGCCGTATTAGTCGCTATTACGGATATTAGTATCAATTCATGCTGTTTGTTTCCTTAATAAAGAAAAATGAATAAAAACAAGATAAGATAAAGTAACTAAGGTCAGCTCGCAGAATTGCTAAAATCAAGTGGCAGTGTGCCAGCTCGCAGAATTGCTAAAATCAAGTACATAATAATATCTCATAGAGACGATGGCCGTTGGGGCAGAAAAGTTCTCGAGTGGCGACCACGGGCTAGAAGACGTAGCGTGTGCAGGCCTCCTACTAGGTGGACCGACGATCTTGTAAAGGTCTCACCCACAAGGTGCTCGCTACCAATCGATCAACGTGGAAATCATTGGGGGAGGTCTATGTTCAGCAGTGGACGTCCTTATGGCTGAAATGATGATGATGAGGTCCAAGACTTACCACCCACTGGACCACAGAGGTATTTTCATCCACTAGGAAAGTTAAATATATTATTTGGTTTTCATTGTAACCATTCCTAGAAATTTAAGATTTACCTGATTGCGTCTCATTAATTACGCCATGCTTTTATAATCCTCGCAAAACCACACCAGACTGTTGTTATAACGTACTTGTCACAAATAAATAAGATGCTCAGTATTTATCTTGACATGACGTCCTTACTTTTGCGTTTTCCGCCCACTCGCAAGGCACAAATTTCAAAGAATTTGTACTTTTATTTTTACTTCTAAATTGATTATGATAACTTTTCGCTACTTCGCGTGGGCAGATTATAAATTGGTTTCCAATATTTTGAGATATTCGCTAAAATTGCCAAAGATTGAAACTTCTCTTTGCCTGTTTTGCTAAAATAGGTAGCTTAATATTTTTTATTTTCTTATTATCCTTTGGTTTGATAAAATCCAAAGTTGGGAGGAACGTCTACAGGAAAATCTTAAAATAGCCTGAATCGATATTTTATTTCGAACTAGGCAGACACAAATGGGTATAAATGCGAACTACTGATTTTCAATTCCATGGCAAGTAAGCATTGCTTCTGTCCAGTTTAACGTTACAGCTTTAAGGCTGGGTTGCACCATCTTACTTTGACTTTAACATCATTATCATCATTTCAGCCATAGGACGTCCACTGCTGAACATAAGCCTCCCCTAATGCTTTCCACGTTGATCGATTGGTAGCGGCCTGCATCCAGCGCTTCCCTGCTACCTTTACGATGTCAATGAACAAACCACGATAATAAACCCACGATCACTTAGGGTCAAATGGGCGAAGTTGTATTCTTAAAAAATGACCTTACCTATACACCCACGAAGTTTGTCTAACCTTCCGCCAAACACCCTGTATAATAGTAGGTAAACACTGCATGCGTTTATATAAACCAAACCATTCAAATTTCAATGAATTTTTATTTAGTTTAAAAGTTACAACAGTCGGTAGGTAACTTGTTAAAACACAGGTACCTACTATGAATCAATCTATCGATTTTTACACCCAACCAAAGTATTTATCTATATATATAAAAATGAAACCCGTTTCGCGTTGTCACGGCATCACGTGTGAACGGCTGAACCGATTTCGATAATTCTTTTTTTTAAATGTTTGTGGAAGTCCAAGGATGGTTCTTACAGAAAAAAATATTAAGAAAATCTCTACGCTAAGGCGGTACGAAGTTCGCCGGGTCAGCTAGTAAACAATAATGTTTTATCTGAAAACATTTACAAAGTGATTTTACCTACGCCATTTTGTGTCTTTGCTAGGAATCGAACCCAGAGCTTTATTCTCATATCTCATTCAACTCTAACTACTAGACCATTTCTAGAGCTAGGTCGGTCCAACTGGCAATTTCCACTACTACTATTGTTAAAACTTTAGGTTATTTTTAGTTTTAGGTAACTAACTTTAACTTTAACTTTAGGTTCTTATAGTTAGTTACATTAATACTGAGTTGCACCACCTAAATTTAACGGTAACTATAACGATAACCAGTGCTTTTTGTATGGAGTACGTCAGAATTTTGTTTGTTAAACGGGACTATTCCCACCTCTCTTTCCCACCACTGCAACTCCTGTGTAGCCAGGATCTACAGCTTGACCGCCAATAAAAACCTAACCAGTGAAGGTCAAGTTTGTCCCGGGGGAAAGTTAAACTGTCATTGGACCTGCAACGAAATGAATGACGTTTGTTAAAGTAAGATGGTGCAACCCAGCCTTAGTTTGTAAGAGAATAAAAGTACTCAGTATCTATAGGTACCTATATAGGTAATTGGATATGGGATCACAGTTGGTGGTGTACACCAACAATAATAAACCATTCTGCTCAGGAGTAGGTAACTATCTTTATTTTCAAAAAAACCACCAATTAATATACATTTTAAAACATTAATTACTATGGGTACGTTACTTGTATACCTAGGTTATAGNTACCTAGGCGACGCGACCACACTACACAGATATAGGTCGAATTTATTTATTTATTGTCGTATTTATTTATTTATTGTCAAAGATCCCGCCGCTTCACATCAATTCAATAAAGTTAATGTTAAGTTGAATATTTTATACGTTAAAGTTGCACTATAAACTATGGAATGCACTTTAAATTTAAATTCAGAAAACGGAATTCAGTGTTGCAAGCTTTTGAAAATGATACCTATACAGTAGTTTTTTTTACGGATTAATCATTCGATAGTTTTTTATCGAATAATTTGCCGCATAATATGTTATCGATATGATAAATACTTTTTCCTCTGTTACACAAAGATATGTTATATTGAAACTACACTTAATGACATGTTCCATATTATATTCCAATAATCAAACACCTATTTTAATTGCAATACGCTTTCATAAACTACTAAATGTATTATGTAATATCCACTAACTACCTAACGTTTAGTGATCTTTAAAAGACAATAAAATAATTTGTAAATTCTACAGAATATTGTTAGAAAATTATATATAAATAAAAATATGTATAGATATCTCGCTAATCGTAACATATAGGATGGGACTCGCGTCCTTTAATAAATAGAAGTTTACTGAATTCATTGACTTGCTTAAAGCCATATAATGTGTAATATAATTTTAAAGCCAAATTTCATAGTCTGTGAGGTTATGTCGACCCATCTTGTCGATATTTAGTCGATAGTTGATTAGTTACAATAATAAATATAGTACACAAATAGGTAACAACTTTCTTAGAATAACAACCTTCCCTTCAGTGCAACGCCACTTTTTGATCTGTTCTATTACTTTTGTTATCTTTTGGAAAAAGTAATTTAAAATTGAAGAATCTGATCACATTAACTGATAAAAAGATTATCACCACATTAATGCTAACACACATTATTATTATAAGTTGTTATTTTTATTAAATTCTGTGATATTCTTTGCTACGTATTCAACTGTTTTTATCGTGGTATTTTTTTTATTTTTTCCTAGTGGCAGCACTAAGTCTTCCCGAGTTAGGCTGTGTTCACACCTACGACTATAATCCAATAGAATATGAGTATAAGCTGCGTTTTTACGCTTAATAATTATTCTAATACAATAAACGTGAAACATTTAAACATAGTTAAAGCATTTTTCCGTCGGAATTCGGTTGTGCGAGCTCAACTTTATGTTTTTGATTGAGACCCGAAAAACCTTGCACCGCCGAAATCGACTAAGCCGTCCCGTTGGCCGTTGGAATAAGAGTAACAGTCAGTAATGGTAACTTAGCAGCTAATCACAACGATAATTATGTATATCGATGAAAAACTACAGTTTACTGCAGTTAGAAACATTATTGTCACTTTGACACTACTTCAAAGGGAACCGAATACCACAGCACGATAATAGACGGTCATATGACGTCACTTCACCCGTCAGTTGTAGACAATCGCCCGATAGAGGGCGGTAATTCCCACACTTTATTTTTAACCAAGAACATCTATCTATCGTGCCAAAGTTTTCTAATAATAGCATTAAAATTAAGTACACAAATTATATACGTATGACATTTATTAATAAACTTAACAATAATCACTTAAATTATATATCTACAAGAAGTGATAGGTTGGAGCTCGTTCTAGGACGACACCTCAGAGATTTATAAAAGAACTATCCAGGAGAATGATTAATTTTAAATATATTTGCGCTTACGTCGAAAACTTCAGAAGAAAGAAGCTGACAGCGGATTATAAACCGCCATTTTAAATCCTAAAACCCGTTACCACGGTATAATCATTTTACACCTTATCACTACAAACATCAAATGGTAATACACCGTATTTTATTGTCCAATTTTGTCAAATTTATTGTCAAATTCGTTAACATTTATCTGGAATTGACAGTTCATGTCATAATTGCTCGAATTGTATACGATTATTGTCTCAAGAAAGATTAATTTACATACTAGAAAAATTCAAGGGGGTATATCGAATATCTACATAGAAAAAATTGGTTTTACAAATATAAAAATACATATTGCCGTTATAGAAAAAAGCTCGCGGCTCGACGACTCGTAAGCAGAAGCGGGGATATGGTACCGATATGCTTTCTTGTTGATTGGGAGAGTCCCTGATTCCAGAAGGGTTCCTCTAGGGGATGAGAGGGGTTCAGTAGTAGGGGACGAAGTCGGGGGTGATGTAGTCATAGTAGGGGTGGTAGAAGGTGCGGCGGACTGGCGGCAGCATGACGTCAGAATAGCGAGAGAACTGGGAGACTTGGCGGCTTCCAGCTTGGGGCTTCCTGGAACAAAAGTTGCTTATTTGTAATGGTTGAGTTAATTTGTCAATTGGCCACGACGTAAAAGCCTTCATAATTTTATTCCTTCTATATAATACAGTATACTACATACTTCACCAAGCACAGCACCGGGAAGCTCAAGTTAAATTCGACCACTCGGGTCCAGTACGGATTTCTAAATGTCCATCACTCGAAACCCATGAAAAGTGTCACAATAACATCAGGTCATTTTACAATCAAATAAATAATTATCAATACACTCTAAGGCATATGAGTAGATTTGAAAGCTTAACAACTATCTTGTAAATGGAATTCTTGTCAAAAATAAGAGGTTGCCAAAGGCGACTGACTTTTTTCTGCCACTTCGAAAAGGGACTAAGTAATACAGAATTTGAGTTGGTCTGCTGTTAGGACTAGGTGCATGATAATGTGATCAGGGACCTGCGATTAAGAAAGGACCCCATATGCTCTTTTGTTTCTGTTCTGCAATTTTACAACTTCCCATTCATTATTTTAGAGAAAAAGGCACTTGTTCCTTAAATGCACAGGGCAAGTGGTTTTATAAAAAAATAGAATATAATAGATTTTATTGAACACTCTGTGCACAATTTATAAACGAAAACAACACAACACGAAAATACAATTATTGGGCCACTGCGCTAATAGGCAATTACGACCCTGGGACTGTATTTAAGGTGGCTAATACAAAATTCGTTTATTTTACTTAATATGGCAGTCAATGTGAAATTGTGAACTCTGTCAGTTTATAATAACGCGTTAGATTGTAAACTAACAGTGGGTTAGGTTAGGTTAGAATGTAATTTAACTACGTCAAATTATAATCTGGCGGAATTCACAATTTTACGGTGACATGGCTAATAAAGTAATTCGCTATCTGTCAGATATCTCACTTGTTATGCTGCCTGGCGTTGGGCTCGTCTGCCGGGTACTCCACTTGAAGAGACTGCAGCCCGCGGGGCTCCTGCTCGCCGTAGTTGCCGTACGCATAGTCGTCACCTCTGTGGATAAATTGCAAAATTAATAAGAAGAACACTGCATAGTTTGCCTAAAGCTTCAACCACACCAACGCGTGTAGATCGCCATCGCAACGGCGCGATCATAATATGCCAATGACGGGTCGCGCGGACTGTCATGGGTCGCGCGACCTGTCATTGGCCTATGATCGCGCCAATTTATTTAATTAGGTTGAAGGAGGCTCCTTAAGAGCAAAATGACGATTTGTAAGAACCATTTATTAGTCTAAACAAATAAAGAAATTTTGACTTTGACTTTGACTTTGAAGCATTAATTTCAAACCTTTTGTCATTGAGCGTATCCCTACGATAAAAACCTATCTAATATTATATTTTTTTAACAATCATCATCATAAACATGTCCTTTTGTCTCCACGGCAGGGGCACGGCCTTCTGTAATTTAAATACCTGGAGAACTAATGGAGGTCTTGGCCTAACATTAACTCTCAACTAAACAACTCTGACCAGATATGACAGGTCTGGGGACTTGCCGCCGATCTGTTGTTCGAATTTCGACCAATAATAGAAAAATATTCTTATTTTTTTCAGTTATGTCCTTTTTTATTTTAAAGCTCGGGCTTTATTGATCTAAACCTACAGGAAATAAATGGTCACTAAACTGACTTTTGCACAATACTCTTCGATTATTACATTCCAGATTTAATGGAGACAGTCCAAGCTTAAAATACTAAAAAACTTGAAGTATTAGGTCAATCCGAACATTTGGCTCAAGAACAGTTTCTTACAATCATTACAATTGATTCATAATCCTTATTTTTATTAATACTTCTGAACAAAAGCCAAAATTTTGCGCAATTTTTCAAAGTGCATGTCGTTAAATCTTACTTAAGTACAGAGGAGAGCACATCAAGCTTAACTCTATCATCTTATGCAGTTGTGATAGGGACTATATTGTAACAAAAATGTATAGCTTCATGTGCTATCGACCGTACTTACAAAAACTCTTGGGCTATGAAAAATTATAAAAGGCAGAAAACCAACATGGCGTAGAAAAGGTCTGCGAAGAAAAATTTGAAGGGATGATTATACGCTCTGTGGAGTATAGCAATCGTGACAGATGAGTACGGAAACCTTTTGGACTGAAATATCATGAAGCCTATCAATACTAGGTATAATTGTGATTCTATCGTAAATAATGGAAATTAAACGGCATATTTAGAGAAACAGTCAAGACGTGCTTTATAGTGTGTAATTAAAATAGAATGAAGCCAAATACTCGATTTTAAGGCTAGATTGAGATTTTGAAAGCAGACCTTAAGATTCGCTAAACAAAAACGAAAAACATGTCATTAGAAGATTAGCACGCTCCAGTAAAATTCAGAAACCTGCATTTTTGTTTCTGTCTTCATTTTTCACTGTTATTTTCAACACAACAATCAGCTGTTTGTGATCTTTGTTCGCGATCTTTATGATCCCCCCAGTGTTCAGTTGGGAATATGGACAAAACTTTATTCTCGTCGATACGCCCGACTTTATACTGGGCAAATCATGAAGTGTCGCCCTTTCACGATGTGCCCGGTCACATCCACATATGTGGCCATTTCAACGATCGGCTGACGAAACAAATTTACTAGCTGACATTGATTGCTAAGTAATTGACCCCAACGCAACGGTAACTAAAATTTTTGTCGGTAAGTACAACCATAACCTTAGATATGGAATGGAATGGCAGTTTCATATAGCACCTTTGAAAAGCAAGAATTGACCTCAACGGGAACGATAAGGAATTAATTCACCACAATAGGCTGACAATGGCACCGTTCCGCTATTGTAATTGACCCCATTGGGAACTGAACCGGCACTCACCCGCGCCCAGCCGTGATCTCCTTGAGCTCCTGCTTCTGTTCAGTCTCGTACTTCCTCTGCAGCTCACGCACGTGCTCCTGTCGGATCAGCTTCTTCAGGGCTTCGAATCTAGAGATAATTCAATAAATCATCAAGTGCGCATCATTACTGCACAGAGTGCGCGGCAGCTGTCACAGCGTACTGAAGGAGATGGCCGATAGTGGGGATTGTCCACTGATCGGCCACATGCTCAGCAGGACGAGGTCTGTTTTAGAAATAAGATACTAACATTATTTATTTATTTTATTTATTTATTTAAGGATAGTACACAGCACATTATCAATCTGTAATAACAATGTTTTTTAGTAGATTTTGTAGGCCAATTATGACTATCCAACATTAAACATTTCTACATACCTTCTCGAGTGACAACCATTATGGATTTAAATATCCTACTGAAGGGAAGCTAAAACAATTAGCCTAATTTTTTACTAAAATTTATGGATCTCTGTTATCTGAATTAAATACTTTTTATTTTATTTATTATTTATTTATATAATAGTTTAATTTTTTACTTGGGTCGAAAACAATAAATAATCAACTTAGCTACTTCAAACCTTTGATCTAATGAAGATCCAACTTCACTTTGCAACAGCTTCTCTAGCTTTAAGCTTAGTAGAGCTTTAGATTTTAAACTTTCGCATTTACTTTTAAACTTTCGATTGTAAGCAGTTCTGCTTGTGACCACGGCTGAAGCATAGCAGCCGAAACGTCAAGCCTTGAGTACACAAAGTAACTCAATCATAAATGTCGCGGTAAGATCCATGTATTTCCATTTAAATAGAGTTTGGTCAGAAAACAAGTTTAACTAGGACTTACTAAAGTGCTATTTTGCGACAAATACCTACGAATTATCACAGAATAAGTTACTAGTACGAAATTATTCACGAAACCCGTCTGAACTATGGTAACTTTAAGCCACTTCGACGATACTTGAATATACATTTATAAGCCTGTTATTTGACAAATTAGTTAAATTCACACTTCCCAAACATTCTATGGTAGGTACAACTTATTAAAAGCTCTGAAAATCCAATTTAAATCAAGCAATTCTATTTTAGTTGCGCTAACGTCAATTCGTTCCAATCGAATAAGGCAAATTTCTTATTCAATAAGCTTTGACATTTTACAACTTCATAATTAAATAACAAACTTACATAATTGCAAAATCGAAATCTTACCCAATTTACTTTCAGTTATTTATATCTCAAATCACAGCAGCAAATTAAAAGACATTAAATAAGTACTTGAATGTTCAAATGTCAATTGTTTTCGATAAACTTTGAAATATTGTGAAAATTAGAGAGCTTATTTCAAAAGTTCGCAACGAGTGGGCGGCGCGTCGTTTTGACGAAACTTTGATGTTTTGGTCGTTAAAGTAGGTATTTTGAGGTAAAAACAAAGATGTAACTTTGGTATTAGGCGTGTATTTATTAAATAGATCCTGTTTTGAGAAGAACGTGCTAACTCTTGAGTTTTGAATAGGCTCCAACTGGGTTAAACTGTTAGGATTTTGTCTGAGTTCAGTAATATTAAGCATGTAAAATTGCTCTTTGAAAGTACAGTTATTGAGAGTGAAGGAGATTTATGTTTTTTTTACTTTCCCATCTATCAGAGCATAGTATAACATAAATTTTAGAGCATTCTAATTAATATAAATTTATAGGCAACTTCATTTTTATTTGCGTCATGAATAGCCTAATAGGTTAGATAATTAAAAGTATTATCCAACCAAGGCATTGCTGCGAAAAATGTATGATTTCTCATTCCATTCCGTCAATTGCCGTCATCCCCACAAAATAGTGATTGAAATTTTACCAAAGTAACTTTGCTATAAATATTCTAGTAGGGTCACTCACAAACTCACAACTTCATAGTATCACAAAACACCTTTTGGTAGATCGGTGGCGGTCTGGTCGAGTTGTTCTTAGCTTACAGGCTTTTTTATCTTTGTAGCCATGGTTCTTACCTGTCTCGTTGAGGAGGAACCATGAAGGTGGGCCCGCCTCGAGGCCGCGAGGGTCCGGGGTACCTGAGGATCTTGCCAGAGGTGTGAGGCACGTTCAGCATGCCAAACATCTGCAACAATGTGTCCAAATGAGGCAAGCTGACAAAAATATGCAAGAGGAAGAAGCGCTCATGTCTTTTCGCGCAGTCAGTTTGCGCTAACGTCTTTTCGCGTAAGTTTCCATTGGCTTTTCGCGTTTGTGTCTTCGCGCAAGTGTACCGGAACCAAAATTAAGTAAGTAGGTACAGTAACTACTAATAACAGTAAACGCCCTAAAAGTTTAATAAATAGGTAGATACTCAGATAGATTAATTAATTTTCTTCTATCTATTTTCGAGTGCCTTTAATATTTAACTCAAGAAAATGTTTATTGTAGATTGCGAGTTTAAATCCCTACACCTGCCTATTTTAAGTATCTGCTACAAGTATAACAATAAACCTAATTAACATAAATTTTATGAAGAAAGCTCACTGAGCGTAAGCAAACCACGCCCTACCTTAATAAAAATTCAACATACAGACAGAAAAAAATCCTGCTGAAAATTCTTTAGTAGACGCAATCTACTTACTACAAGTACAAAGTTACAAACTAGTTTATTGAATGTTCTATGCCATTCAATAGAATTTCTCATCAATGGAAAGAGTGAATGAAACAAGTCGACCGTCTAGTGCCGCTTGTTGCGCCATCTAGTCACCATAAGTAGAAACTGTAGTTTTGCTGACCTCCAATAGGTGGCGCTAGTTATAAGTTTAGAAAAGTTGCGTCGTAATGCTGAATTTCTATTTTATCTCTTTTATCATTATTTATGTTGATAAAATTAGTAAATGTAGGTAAATTAAGCTAAAATTAATCTATTCATTTATTTTTTGCAATTACTGAACAATTAAAATTCTAAATTATTTAATATTTATTCAATGAAAAAGCTCCTTGTCAATAATAATAAAAGTGTTGTTACTTAGCCGGCCAATACAATAATTTAAGAAAAAAAACTAGTTGTATTTTTATACGTTTTATTTTATAACTAATTCTTTATAAAATATCGAAAAAAATATAAAAGTAAAAATATAAAACAAAAAAGAATTTCCGCGACCCTGCCAGGATTCGAACCTGGAATCTTCTGATCCGTAGTCAGACGCGTTATCCGTTGCGCCACAGGGCCAGTTGAGATGTGGGTCGAAAATAGCGTTCAAGCGTTCTGTATAGAGATATCAGTGTATTGCTAGCGTGACCACAATGTGACTTGTTGTTGAAAAATTAGCATTTTAAGTTGGTTAGATCGGCCGTTTTAAAAATGAGTGCGAGATTTTATCTTTACGCGCCTAAACAGAACCAATTTTCATTCGTTATAATAAGTAGTAAGTACCTACATAATGAGTAAACATAATACTATTCAGAGATCAAAGCCATTTTATTTAAAAAAAATGAAACTCAAAGACGGTAACGTGAGGCGAACGAAGCCAAGTAAGTGACTTAAGTTAGCTTGATACGCTACTGTTCATAGTTTTTTCTCACCCCAGTAGCCCAAAATGCGCACAATATCCTAAAATTAAACATCTCGGACTTCGCTTGACGAGCTACCGTGCGCCCTTCTTACCTCATCGCAAATCTTCGAAAAATAAACTCTAAAAGGGACTAACTTAGCTTGTAGCCTTGAACTTGGCTTGTCACGCTACCGTGCGCCTTCTTACCTCATCGTAGTCTAGAGTACGCACAACGACCGACGCTCGAAAACGAGACTCTAATAGTGCGAAAGAGAGGGCAAGCTTGCCTTATTGTCTTGAACTTGGCTTGTCACGCTATCGTGCGCCTTCTTACCTCATCGTAGTCCGGAGTGCGCACGACGTTCGGCGGGGCCTTGGTCACGACGCGGCCGTACGCCTCGCGGGGCATCGTCGGGTACTGGTATCGGAACCTGCCACAAAAGATACCGGTACTTAATTAATACATTATTTAAAAGCATTTCTTGTATTCTAATGGCACCAGCAACGGTTCGTGTACACTCGGCGCTGGCTAGCCAGTTCCTTTGCTTGAACTTGGCTTGACACGCTGCCGCGTGTCTAGATAGGTAAGGATTATACAGTGTGAGTCACGTTAAAGTGTACATATGAAAATAGATGAAACTAGACCTATTTTTATCGACAAAAAAGAGGTCAAAAATTTTTTTTGATTTTTTTTTAATTTTTTATAGAATTTTTTTTCTTCCAATTACTTATTGTAAAGAAAACGTAATAACTTTTAAACTAAGCGGTATATCCTGATAAAATAAAAACAGTAATAATGCTAAATAACAGGCGATACTAAANGTTGCGCCACAGGGCCAGTTGCTGAGCAGGCCGAAAATAGCGTTCAAGCGTTCTGTATGGAGATATCAATGTGTATGTAGTTAGCGTGACCACAGAGAGGGACTTGTTTTGTTGAAAAATTAGCATTTTAAATTGTTTAGATCGGCCGTTTTAAAAATATATGCGAGATTTTATCTTTACCTACCAAAACAGAACCAATTTTGATTTGTTATAAATAGTACTTAATGGGTAAACAATAAACATAATACTATTGAGAGATCAAAGCCATTTTATTAAAGAAAATAAAACTCAAAGACGGTAACGTGAGACGAATGAAGCCAAGTAAGTGACTTAACTTAGCTTGACACGCTACTGTTCATATTTTATTAGCCCAAAGTGCGCACAATATCGTAAAATTAAACTTAAAGGTGAAATTTGGGACTTCGCTTGACGAGTTACCGTGCCCCTTTTTTACCTCATCGCAAATCTTCGAAAAAGATACTCTAACAGGGACTAACTTAGCTTGTAGCCTTGAACTTGGTTTTTCACGGTACCGTGCGCCGTTCTTACCTCATCGTAATCATAGTACCTACGCACAACGACCGACGTTCGAAAACGAAACTCTAATAGTGCGAAAGAGAAGGCAAACTTATGACTATTTAGATATGTACCATCCTAGACTGCATCCCACTTAACATCAGGTGCGATTGTGGTCAAATACCTGCCTTGTTATGCATAAAAAAAAACTTGCCTTATTGTCTTGAACTTGGCTTGTCACGCTACCGTGCGCCTTCTTACCTCATCGTAGTCCGGAGTGCGCACGACGTTCGGCGGGGCCTTGGTCACGACGCGGCCGTACGCCTCGCGGGGCATCGTCGGGTACTGGTATCGGAACCTGCCACAAAAGATACCTTACCTAAATAATGTTTTAAGCAACACTTAGGTTGGGTTGCTTGCACCATCTTACTTTAACTATAACAAATTGTCAAAAGTCTGTCAAACTCCATACTAAAAACTCCGAATATTGTTATAATTACCGTTAAAGTAAGTTGGTGCCACGCGCACCGTTAGCGAAGAACAGGGGAGGTACCTACTACTTCAGGGGAGCTGAAGCCAGTCGTCTTGTATACCCATTCTTATAAGATACACCATACAAGAATGCATGGTAAATTCAGTGAACTGCTCCTGAATCGAATGTACCTACTACTACTATTTATATTTATTTATATTAACCGGCAGACAGTGGTGACTGAGTTTGTTGCGGCGCTTCTTCTCAGCACTTGCCAAATGTTGGTCTCGAAGCGCTGGTAGGGTAAAAAGATTATGAGACATGTAGAGGCTCCTTAAGAGCAAAATGACGATTTGTAAGAACTATTTATTAGTCTAAACAAATAAAGAAATTTTTGACTTTGACTTTGACTTTGTCGCTTGCTCCAACAGAGCGAGCCACAACCTGGGGCCGCGAAAGAATGTCTAGGCCGTCTAGCTCGGACAATAACTCGCATTTCCGTCCCACTGTGGGAGGACACGGTCAGGTTTTAGTGAGTACCTATAGGGCAGGGAGAGCCTCACATACCCACTGGTTCCCCCGGGGTGGGTTGCATTTTCATGTATTTCCTGACTAAGAAAAAGCAGCCTTATGCTACCATCTTACTTTAACAATAACAAACGTCAAAAGTCCGTCAAATTCTGACTGAACAAAAACACCGGTTATGGTTATAGGTACGGTTAAAGTAAGGTACCACAGCCTTATTGTATTGTAGTTAGGGTTGTTATTTCTTTTTCTTTATAGGGTAGTGGAAACTATTCGCTATGTAAACACATTTTAATTATTATTAAAGGTAAACAAAAGACTGGATTATATTATCATTTCATTCCTATCTTATTTCGAGCTACGCCCACTCGGAGATCTAAAATAGCGACGTTGTGTGTTTCATTATCATTTTACGAATAACATACATAATTAATCTATTATCTAAAATACAGTGCTTCCATATTCGCCAGACTTTTCTTTCACGGCTAAATTATTAAGCACTTTTGATAAGTTTCGGTGCAAAATCCTGCCGGGCTAAAAATAGTGATATAATTACATACTTTTTCGACGTCAAAATGTATGGGAAAAACAATAAAATGACGTGATAACCGCTTATCGCGGCGCGCATCTTAGGCCTACTGAGATAGATTTAGTCGAACGACATAGATACGAGAGTCCTTTTTGTCGCGAAAATAAAGCCAGGTATCTAACCATTCTTCAAATTAAATCCTTATTGGTGTACTGAAACCCAAACCAAATGAAGAAAAAACGTCTAATTATTTTTTCTCTGAACTTAAAATAGAATCCAGAACATTACCGATGAAAACCAAACTTTTGTCTTTCAATTTGATAAAAGAAGCCTATCAAATACCTTCATTGTTCCAGCAGCATCCACGTAAAAGAGCATTTCTATTTAAATTTTCAATTACAATCACGTTCTTGCTTCTACGTAGAGCAGTGCACGTGCCCACTGATAATAATACTCAGTGATAATAATACCGATTCTTCTATTTCTGTATCGCAGCTTATGTACGCCCAATAAACAAAGAAAGCTTTGCAAAAGCTTCAGTGGCACTTTTATTTGTGCGCCATCGAACAGCGAACTTAAAAAGAAACTTTGAATGTCACCGAGCTTACAATGGCGGAAATAAAGTTCGTTGCGCTCGAATTCGTGAATTATTTTGGGATGGACTGTAGCCATGTTTATTTATTAAATTCTGGAGCCATTTTTGTTTTTTACGTGGAAAAATGCACTAAATTGCATTCCGGCCGCTCTGGTCAGATGGGTTATGTGGGGGGGCTCTACATGCCAAAAGGGCAAGACTTAATAAATTCTGGCTATAACGACCAGATTAAATGCGTGTAGTGAAAGTCCAGTTATTTGAGATTCTGCATTACTGGGTCCCTCAAAACTGGATTGTCGTGGGAACAAGCCACAGATCACAGAAACTAAAGGGAGATGTGACAAGGGCCGGTGTCGCAGCAATATGCCCAAAAACAGCGTCGTCGTAATTTAAACAGGTTACATTGCTTGCGTAGTACTAAAGATTATTCGAACGTTGAGTACTGAGAACGCAGTGGATAATAAGCACATATTTTGATTACTTTGTGTGTGTGAATTTCTAATGCGACACTGAGTTTCGAACTCAGCTCATTAGTTGGCATCTCTTTATGTCTCTATGGAACGAGCCTTTACGCTGTAGCGCGCGTTAGTAGGTACGCGTTCTATTTGGTTGAGCATTTAATATAGCTATGTAGAATAGAATAGAATAGAATAGAATAGAATAGAATAGAATAGAAAACTTTTTATTTGCAAGAAAGGTATACAAGCAGGTAAGACATAGATTAAAACAGAGAGAAATAAACAAGTGGACAATTAACTGCTTGTGCCCCTCTGACAAAAAGGCACCCGCTCAGCGTACATCAAGACCGCCAGGGCTTGTCTTGAAACTGATTTTCAGCGGGGGCCCTCTGTTGTCACGGCGTACCCCTGCTGACGGAGATGCAAGAGGAGAAAGGAGTCCACAAGTCCGGCAGCAGGGAGAACGCAGCAGGGGGGCGCAAAAGAAAAAGAGAAAACAAACAAAAAGAAACATACAAGAAAGCACCATAAAAATTAATTAATAAAAATAAATTCATTTCACATTCATTATAAATTACAATAATAATAAATTAAAATTATAATAAATTACAATAAATTTAGATTTTAATTATTAATTACATAATTAAAACACATTTAAAAAAAAAATTTAAATAAAATAAATTAGATTAAAAATACAAATAAATTATCAAAAAACACCATTCTTTACTTATCTATTGCCATTGATATGTGGCCATAACCATAAGGCCTCAAGTTATTTAAAATCAATGGTAGAAAAGTGATAGAGGAAAGAAAAAAAAAAAGAGATTAAAAAAAAAGAAAGAACTGTCACTTACTGTCAACGACCGACATGTGCACGAGATGTGAGAATAATTGCCACGTAAATTGATTAAATGTGGTACATTTAAAGGATATTTCAAGAAAGCAGTGCCAAATAATAAAACCAAATTAAGAGCAATCCGCAGCACTACAATCACACGAAAGGGAAGGTGAGTAACATCCAGCATTGTAACCAATTTTATGCAACAACTACGGATTAATAACATACAATCTTAATGCAATGCAATACCATTATACAAATAAATTAAAGAAAATTGGTAAGAAATTACTATCAATATCATTAACATTTAACAATGAGCAACGATAAAACATAAATTTACAATTCCAGGACAGAAGAATACACTGAGTACCCACAGATAACAGCAAAAAATAAATAAATAAAATAAACCCATGTCAAGAAACTAAACGGAGCCAAGTGGATGAGGACTGCACACAAGGTGCTGGAGAAATTCAGGTGAAGCTGGAGCTGGAAGTGGACCTGCCCCCAGGCGTGTCGTGCATACATTTAAGGTAGGATTTTTTCCTTGACCTGTTGTGAAATAATGAGGTGTTTTTTAAGTGTTTTTTTAAAAGTGTTTTTTACTTGTAGGGCACGCAGAGGCGGTGGCAGGTCATTCCAACATTTAGAAGCAGCAAACCTGAAGGAGCCTCTAAAAGCTGCAGTACGATGTTTAGGGGTGTTAAAGACATGGGTGCATTCTCTTCTGGGATATCGGCTCTGCTCACGTGCCCACTCCAGCTTCAAGAAAAGGTACTTTGGCTTGGCTTTACTCAGAACACCAAACATCATAGTAGCAAGATGAAGCTTCCTACGCGCATCCATCTTTAACAAGTCTGCAGCATTGAGGAATGGCGTAACATGTGTACGAGGTGGAATTGTGAAACAAAACCGAGCGCAGGCATTTTGCACTCTTTGGATAAGTTTAGCTGATTTTGTCAAAATACATGGACCATAAACAGTATCGCAATAGTTAAACTTGCTGAGAACCAGTGATTCGCAAAGAGCAATTCGAATCTTCTCACTTAAATATGGTCTTAGTTTGTATAGAAGTTTCAAACGGTAAAAACTACTTCTAGCACAATCAATGATGTGATTTTCAAATTTCAAATGGCAATCCATGGCCAATCCCAGATTTTTAACTTTATCAACCCTAACAATAGGCTGACCCACAATATTTAAAGTATTAACATTAAATCTGGCTATGTTCTTGGGGGTACCCATTACAATAAATTGTGATTTTTTAGGATTAAGAGTAAGACAATTCAGTAAGCACCATGTATTTATGTTATTTAGGTCTTGGTTAATTTTATTGACAGCAATCACTTGGTCGGCCGGGGCAAACGGTAGATACAGTTGCAAGTCATCAGCATATAAGTGATATTGACAATTCTTTATGCTGTTTACAATGTCAGCGCTGTACAAAATGTACAGAATTGGGCCCAAAATCGAACCTTGGGGCACACCACGAGAGACTGTACTCAGCTGTGAACGCAACAGAGTGCCATCCGTCTGTTTCAGCTCAACATATTGACTACGCTGAGTCAAATAACTATGAAACCATTTAACGGATCTGCTATCAAAACCATAGTATTTTAGTTTGGATGAGAGAAGAGATGTATTGATTGAGTCGAATGCCCGAGAGAAATCAAGCAATGTCACAATTGTTACCATGCCACGGTCCTGTCCAGCCAGTATGTTGTCAACCACGTCTGCCAGTGCAGTGGCCGTTCCATAACCCTTCCGAAACCCAGATTGACAGTGTGGAAGAATATCACAATCCTCAAGGTATCGAGTGACTTGGTCGCACACTATCCTCTCAAGGATTTTAGAAAGACATGGCAGGATGCTAATGGGCCGTAGTTCCTCTACTGAGTTAGGGTGGCTTGTTTTAGGAATAGGTCTCACAATCGATATTTTCCA